AACGGGTATTCTTATGCATCAGAATGCATAATCAAGGCTCTATTGTTCGCGAGCTGTTACTTTAAAAGTGAAAATGGTAGTTCGGTGGACCTGAATAATTTGAGCCAACGTGTATAGAAATATAGATGAAGCAAGTTTTCATTTGAGGATTCAGCGTACTTCCCCAGAGAACTGTATCGAGAGATCTGAAATATGGTTGGGTTGATATTATAATGGTGTCTTCATTGCCAAGAATAAAATGTACTATGTATTAAGTACATTGAGCAATAAGTTCAACCTTGCTGAATTACGCGCAATATCGAAACTTCATGCTCTCCAAATAAAGCTTTATAAAATACATGGTTACGTCTATACAGTAATGAAATAAATTTGTACGAACATGAAATAACAGGATTAAGTAGGCTTCTATACAGCGGTTAGTGAATTGTTAATTCCCAGATGGATTTCACAGCTCACGCTGATTCAAGCGAAGTTTGTCATTGGTGAGCAGCACTCACGTGTGACAAAATCGGTTTACATTCCATCAAAATGACGTTGTATGTGCTAAAGGAAAAAGCTGGGAATCGCAGTGTACACAGTGATAATAGTATAAGAAAATCAACACTATCCCGCAAAGTTTGCACGAATTTCTCTAACACAGAAACCCAATACGCCTTTTGCAAGAATGAAATCGTTTGGAAAGGTGAAGTCTCTCTAGGAAAAACGCGTCCCTAAACCCGAAGTATGCGCTCAATTTGGGCGGAGATCCTGTCCTCTACTCCGTCCATCTAATAAATGTGAGTTTCAACACGTACGGTGTAGCCAGTGACCTTCTGGGTTCCGACGCCAGAGGAGCGATGGCAACAGATATCCCATTCACCGGAAAGGAGTGTATGGTCTTTCACCGACACGGTCTTCACCGCCATAGGCAGATTCAGCTTATTCAGCCACTTCAGAAGAACTAAACGCATAATTAGCAGTGCTTTCGACTGCGGGAAATTTGGAAATGGATTTTAAATCAATATGTGTTCGAAAGTTTCTGAAGACTAGAAGCCGTTGATTAAATATTGTCCACACCGGTAACTCTGCATTAGCTTGGAATAGGCCGACTGTTCGCGGGTGAACGCTGTTGCTTTACCACATTCCGCGTCATCATATTCTGAACTGGAGCTCCAACGGGTTAAGTCAAACTCACATACAAACGCTTACAAAAACAACAGCTGTTTGCCCAAATTGATCTCGGTCGAAAAATGGCCATCTAACTGTCGTTAGAGAGGGATGCTGCCGAGAAACTATATGTTTGTTTTTACGCATTTGGTCATTAGCGACATTAGTTTTATCAAACCAAGATGTTATTTTTAGCAAACTGTGCGTGATGGACATCCGCATGTTGCATCCACTTCTTAACAGGGAATCATATTTGATCGAAATGGAAAATGATGGAAAGCGATTCAGTAGTGTAGGCACTGGCACATTTCACATCATATTCAACAAATAACTATGACAGTGCTGACGGCTAGAGTATAGTTAATGTCTGAGCAAACCATTGGTGATGCTCCTACAAGCATAGTTTCTCCTACCATCTCTAGCTTTTTTGCTTATCAGGCAGGGAATACGGCAATAACCAAACCGTTCGGTGACATAGCTTGAAGTAATATGCTAAACTTTTGGTCCAGTCAACCGAACTCCGACGAACACAGGGTCGCTCATGGGGAACCCAACTACTGTCGAGTTGAATTTGGCATTCTTCAAAGCCTTCTCAACCATTCACTGTTACGTTAGGCAGACACTGACATCGTAGGTAAAACATCAAATGCGGAAGCGGGAGTAGGAAGTCTTCGCTTTACGCTCCAGGCAAGTAAATTACAATAACCGTGGGTATAACTCCAAACTTGTTGCGAACGTGCCACTTGAAGCATGATCAGGTCGGTATAACCAAAAACTGATGCACTTCATTTTATGCAGCATCCTTGTTTGAGAGCACGTATCGAACATTTCACAGTTTGACAAGTTACGGGTCTGTGAGCGCGGAGGCTGCGCAGTAAACGTTTTCGTAGCCAGCAACGTGATGCAAGCTTTCCTAGGATATAAGTGCTTCAATCCTACGTTGTTAATTTGTTTAGCACATATTATAGAGCTGTCAGCCTTTATGGGACCCTGTGACAACAGAGACGATTTTCGCAAGTACAGGTACTGCGAGTTCAAAATACGTCACTTAACCCGGGCCAAATACGCCGTGTGTTGCTTCAACTCACCTCTGCTGCAAATGCCGAGGCAGACGTTCTAATATGCGCGTGTGATTGCTTATCCATTCAAATCTGCTGGATAATGTGTCTTGTGGATTACCAAGTCAAGTTAACAAACATAAGGATCAGTCTCCAGAAGCAGTGGTCACTTGAGGCCTCCCAAAAAGCGTCCTGGGAATATTCCCGGCCTCCTGAAAGACTGCTTTACTAGGATAGAAATGTGTTTAATGGCCTCTTCCGCTTCCCCACGGCACGCATTGATGTTTATTGTCACCGTTGAACAGCTGATCACCTATAATTGTCTGGATAGCTTTAACAAGCTTTTAACCACTTTTAACCTTTTATCAGGCTCCACACAAACCAAAACCGACATGATTTCCGGCTAACTCACAGCTAGAGGCGCGGTGCAATGTTCAAAGTGCAAGGTATCCACTTAGTGCAACGTAATTTGAATTCCGCCGGCGACATCCTTCCTGTTGTGATTTGTAGATGACTGCGGGTATTCTGCTTCCGTTAGTTTGACCATTTTTAAAAATTTATCGCACTATGTCAACTGGATAAAAAGCCACGTACACGGTCGCCTGACATTGACGTTTCGTCATTAAAGGAATCATAACCCAAAATCACCCGCTTCCGAAACTCCAACCCTTGTTTTAGCTCTATTATTTTCATCTCTCTCGCAATCGCTTCCTTCAGTATAAGCTAATCGTAACAAAATATCTGCCAACATGACTGTTGAGATCTTAAACGTCCAACCGAGATTGGTCGAAGTGGAAAGCGTGGGATAACGAAACAGGCTGAACAACGGGAATGTTGCAAACAAAAAATATCGAAAGTATTTTTCACTAGGCTATCAAATACGGGGTTCGACCGACTATGAAGTAACTTGCCACTACGTCATTGGATCATATTACTTTAAAATTATCCAAAGTTTTAATGTGGATATAAGTCTGGGGTAAACAGGGTGTCTGAAATTGGAGTACGTTTGATGGTACCTAGTATTTAGTTTAGCATTGTTGTGGGGTTACGCACGATCCACAAAAGTCCAAGTTTCAAATGAAGTTTTATCAAGTACCATGGATAAAGCGACGAACTAAATTTTATGAGCCCTAGATCGCAGGATTGCGCCTCGTTCTACACACTGATTTAAGAACCGATAATTTCTGAATGAATCCCAAAGTTTAGATTGACTCAAAATAAGTTTGTTATAATCAGGGTAGGTCCAAACGTTGGCTTAACCCTGACATGTAATGTAAAATGAAAAAACGGTTTATGTTTTGGTGTAAACTAGAATGGCGTGAAATAAAAACGTTAAAACGCGGGATTCACGTTCTGCACAGTGAGAATGAGAGTAAATCTGAAAGTATTCAAAGTTTTTTTTCACGTATTTGGGTCACCTGCAAGCCTTTATCCTAATTTCTCCAACCACTTTGCGTAAGTGTTTTGAAATACTATATACATGCAGTTGCTGCCAACGGATGAACGTTTACAAACAAAGTAGAACGGATCGACGAGAATTTATCGGATACCTCCTTCCTCCTAAAGCATCATACTTGTCACTTAAAGTTTGTATTTACAGAGCAGCATGTGAGACGACGACTCTCGTGACAGATGTGTTTATGAGCAAATCCAAACGATGGGACTGAAATGCGGCCAAAAAAGTAAACGCTTCATATGCACCGGGTTTTGAATACCAAGCGTTCTCAGTCGTCCTCTTGAGCCTTCCTGGAAGCCGACTGTTTTCCAAAAGTAATAGACAAACACTGTAAAGCAAGTAGTTTCGTAATTCCTGTAATATACCCCACCTTTCTTTGGATATGGGACAGAAATTGGACACAATACCACAGACTACTAGCTTGCTTCGTCAGTATTAGTTCTCGCTTTTGGTCAACTGGATTGACGCGCGAACACCATGAGCAACCTCAGTTCCAAGCTCTCTACTTCAGCCACCAGCCCTTTCTTGATCCTTCTGGTATCGTTCCCGTATATGCCGTTTGTTTGCGGGTTTTGTAAAAAAAGGTTGCGCTTGTCTATGTGCCCTAAGAACAGCTCCAGTTTTTTCCCTTTGAGTATGCCTATATTTTCAAGCCAGGCCGGCACGATGGTTGGTAGTGGGGGATCCTGGTGATATATTTGCAACAACCTTCAGAGCTGTTGACGCCAATCATGATCTCCAGGATCCCATGTCAAGCATTTGATATTGACAGGCAATTAGCTAGTGATCCTTTTACCCGGCAAGTTCCTGGTCCGAAAGTCATACTCTTATCAGCAAAGTGCGCTGTGCTTGAGGTCTCCGCATGTATCTCTCATGCCGCTTCCAGAAGACCGCTAAACATTGTTCCTGAATGGTTCACTTCCTCTACTCAGCATTAGTCACTGCAAGTCTGGCATATTCGATGACACCATCCGTGTGCCTTAGGAACGGGCTGTATCCCCTGTTGCAACAGTAGACATCATCCCGAACTTGAGCTGCCGGGTTAGCAGTGAGTGAAGCAGGATTCACCTGCTATCATGTTTGAGGGTCTCCTGTGCTACCAACATCCATTCTCAATTCTCATTCATACGCTGGAGATCGTATAGTTGGGCACCAACCGTGTTGAAATCCTTGAAAGACCGACTGTAGTCGACGACTGTGTCAGACGACGGCGTACTTGTCAGAAGCCGATGACTTCAGCGTCTAAACAAACCGTGCGTTGCACCGTGTCACTCTTGGAATCCCATGCTGACCGTTTGCTTGCTAGTGTTGACCTTCTGGAATTTCCCCGAGGGTTACAGTCTGGCATCATGAAACCGGAGATGGTCTTGTCGCTTCTGGACCTCCACGCCTCCAGGACATGTCCACACACCTGGAAAATTATTTGCCGACGTCGCCGTCAGTTAGTCCATCGGATCCCGGTCAACCGAAAGCAGATCCGCCGAGTCAACTACGCCGTTATCCAGACCCTATACCACCAATGACGGAAAGATGCAGCGTCTGCTGTACTCGCTGGGTCATGGAAGGATTTATACAAAGGAAACTGCGGCCTACCTACGGACGCCGAACAGTAGTGGAAACAAGTGCTCTCAGCTCCAAAACCCGCGGATAGCCGACCAAGTCGCGTAGCAGTACCACCCGACCGGAGCTTGATCGAACCAATTGCAGGAGAGGAAGTTGGCTGTACGATCCGTTTAATGGGCAATTCGTCCCCAGGCCTGGACAAGCTCACACCCAGGATGCTCCGACGGTTCAACGCTAATGTGCTCCCTGAGTATTTCAACTTATTTTTGTTATCTGGGGGTTGTTCCCCTCTGTCGTGCCCGTATTACGCTAGTGCCGAAGGTCCCACATCCGGCCTCACCAGATCAACTGAGACCGATCTCCGTGTCATCCATTCTTATCCGTTGCTTCCATAAGATGCTTGCTGATCGCTGGAGTCGTAGATTGCAACTGCACTCACTTCAGTTTGCATTTCTGCATCGATACGGCTGCTTGGAAACCACATCGCTGTTGCATGCCCTGCTTCGTCACTCTTCAGCGGCTGCCTCCAACCTCAGCTTGGCATTTGTCGATATCTCGAAAGCGTTCGATTCGGTTTCGCATGACACAGTCTTCAGATCTGCCGAGGCGTTTGGAGCTCCGTCACCTCTAGTTCGATACATCGCACAGTCCTATGAGAATGCTGTAGCAGTTTTCCCCAGTTCCGAGGTTCACTGCCACAGAGGTGTGAGGCAAGGAGATCCACTCTCCCCATTATTATTCATTATGGCAATGGATGAGGTTCTTGGATTGTCGATGCCGCAACTGGGATACCAGTTCCATGACACCTTAGTAGGTGGTTTTGCGTTCACTGACGACTGGGTCGTGTGTGCAGAAAGTCAGGTACGTCTTAAAGAGAAGCTTGAAGCTGTTGCGGTTGAGTTGGGAAGAGCTGGCATGAAAATAAACGCCCGAAAGACTAAAGTGATGGTTATTTGTGGGGACAGGAAACATCGGGCAACAGCAGTCTCAGTCGAACCATTTCGCTTTGCCGAGGAACTAATCACTCCTCTGGGTCCGACAGACACTGTAACATATTTGGGCATTCCCTTTACCTCCAAGGGGATATCGGTCTTCAACCACCGACAACACCTGCTCAAACTGCTCGAAGGTGTGACACGTGCCCCGTTGTAGCCGCATCAAAGAATGGATATCACGAGGAACTACCTGATACCAAGGCTGACATATTCGCTGGTGCTCGGCCAAGTCCACAGGAACATGCTAAAAGATTGGACAACTACATCAGGCAATATATTCGTGGCTGGCTACGTCTAATGAAGGAAACTCCGATCAGCTACATCCACTTCGGTAAACAACATGGGGGAATTGGTATCTTAAGTCTGAGTGCGACAATCCAGATGCAGCGGAAAACGCGTATGGAAAAGCCCCTTTTCAACTCAGTGCCGAGTACTACGAAATGTGGTCAACGATTCCGCATTTGGAAAAATTGTTCGGGGTATCAGCCTTCCGATCCGAGCCCATGGTGCACCCGTAAACACCAGGGAGGAGCTGGTGGCTGCTTGGGGTGAAAGTCTGCACAACAGCGTTGACGGTCGCGGTGTACGAGAGTTGGTCACTTCGCCTCTCGCGAATCGACGGCTCGTATTCCCAGAACGAGTGTTTCCACGGCTATTAATCCGCGGTATGCAGCTCCGATGCAACCTGCTCAGGACGAGATTTAGAAGCGCTCGGCATGGTCATGGTGGTCAGAGGATCGTATGTCGTGGAAACTGTGGCCGACCGGAGAGTTTGGTGCATATTTTGCAATCCTGCTGGATCACGCATGATGCCAGATGCGCTCGTCATAATCGGGTTGCAAGGGAACTTGCAAAACGTCTCCGTCGACTAAGGTACACCGTCTCCGAGGAGTTGAGAGCCCCCACTTCTACGTCGTTCATCAAACCTGACCTAATCGCTGTTCGAGATCACCGTGCAACTGTAATAGTCGTCAGCATAGTCTCGGATTGGCGTGGAGTGACTGTGTGGAATGAAAAGAAGCAGAAGTATGGTGCTGATGAATATTCCCTTGCCATCATCTCAGCCCTACGTGCCGTCGATTGTGATATCGACTTTGTGGTTCACCAACCGATGATCATCTCTTATCGAGGGATCTGCTTTTCTCAATCCGCTAAGGCTCTTATTGGACTGGGACTTCCTAAGGTCGCAGTCAGTGACTTGCGTTTGCTTGCCATTGTGAGCTACCTGCGTTCTTATGACACTTTTATGCGTGGCGCATGGCATTGAAGGTACATTTTTGCCATTTAATATCACACCAGACCCATTATGACGGTCACTTTGTGCCAGATGTGCGAGTATTGACTGTGCTAGCGCACACTGCGCCTTGAATAGCATTCACCATTACTTGTCCTTTCTTTGGTTGTTGGTCTTTAGACGCGTGTTCCCATACCAGAATCTTTACATACTTTGGGATTCACCTCATCAGACTGGCACTGTCCTTGGCATGATTTCCGATGAGGCGTTTCTCTCTTTTCTCCCATATTCTCCTGTTACTCTTTCGCATTCATCGCTTGCATTCACTTTTTATGTCTATGGCCATGCTCTTCAAAAATAAATGATAATATGTGCCGTGATCCTGACAAGTAAACTGTCGTTGGTCCCAATTGATACTGGATATCCCTAACAGTGAGCGCCGTTCTCTAACCGCCGTTTGACTGGATAGCTTGCGGTCGGTATCCGGGACGCCGTGAACTAAGAACAATGCTGCAGCGAATAAAAGATTGCCGCATTCAAAGGGAGAGCTACAGCCACGTTAAAGGTTAATTTATTCAAATGGTGAAAATTCTCAAGAAATCACCAATAGCTGTTCGCCCTCTTCACAACTACAACAGAGAAGTTTTTGGCACTGTCAGCTTCTCCGGTTATGCCATAACGCGAGCGTGTTTCTGGACTCTTCCCGCAAACAGGAGAAGTCAACTGACCGGATGGCATGGTCGGAAGTAAAGAGGATGCTGTGTTACATCCACCGTCACAAGCCAAACGGGTGTTCACTGTTAAGCAGTACTTCGGAATACTTCTTGACCACATAGAGTGCCACGGAACATTGCAAGCTTTCTAAAATGCAGTTCTCCCGGGGGAGTTCTTGGATAAATTTCAACCTTGACTGATCCGTGTTCTGGGAGCAGGTTTCATCACATAACGTTCAGCACTACTTTCGCGCTCTTTAATGATTCCGCCTCAAAATTGCTCACTTCGTATGTGGATTAATCAAAGTTTTGTGTTGGGTGCAAAGTTTGGCTTTCAATTTTCAATCGGTATCCACCCAATGCCATCATCGGTAACGCACACACAGTTTGTATGCAGCTTCATGCCGTATATGCATCAGTGGTACTCTTATTTCCTTAGCGCTCGGTATTGTTATCATTGCACTAATCGCAACTCATGCTGGCAGATAATTATGTATGGCGATAGTGATTTGTGCATTCAAGCATGCTACAGTTGTAGTACTGAGATCCATTAGTTATACCTCCAAGCATTTTGGTTATTCGGATAAATGGTAACTGAAGTCCTTCAGTGGTTTCTTATCACGCTTCTCCTGTAACAGCAAAGTGGGCATCGGCGAGCCAGTCGATCATCGTGGCATGTTCACTAGCACCTCAGCACCCAGGGGGTCGGTTGTCATTGCCACTCGGTACTGGATACCGAGCACCAACATCATCTCTTCGGCGGTATTTGCAAGGCGGTAAACATTAGCAAAACTCCCCTTTCAGTCCCAAAGTAGGACGTCCCAAACGTCACCGCATTCCGATTACGAATATTGTCGGGTTGCATCCCGGTCACATCACGGATTTCTCAAATAATTTCATGGCTTGTGTGTCAAATTCCTCTGCAAATGCTTCATACAGCTCCCTCTGTACGCACGTACGGTTTAATTCGCCCGGACTCTGAGGTGAGACCTTATTGCCGCTAAAATATCCTAGTCAGCTCTTGGTCTTCCTACAACCGCAACGCCCTTCAATTCCGCCATGAATGCCCCACATTTTTACTCCTTAAATCTTGTGACCAAAAAACGCCCCTATCATAGTCACTGCATCAAATAAAGGAACAAACGCAGTCCGCTGCGGGTTTACTTACCTGCAAACACGAACTTAGTGGTAACAAGACATGAGACAATAGAGATCACGTCTCACTTACACAGAGTCTTGAAGAAACGAACTTTATCGAACAATTCGTGATGTAAATTGACTATCAAACAAGGATGACCGAACACAGCGAACGGTTCCATAATATTCATAGTGAACCCCGTTTTCGCGAGTTGAGGGTTTGAAGTTCAACCAACATGCCGTAGACGAATTTCGTGATTCATAAATAGTAGGGCTTGTCTTTCGGATACAGTTCCCTGCGTTTAATTGCCATATTGGATAATAGGAGCGGTGAATAACGGTAAAAGTGGCTACAAGTGCCCCACCGTATGACCACAAAATCACTGACCCGGGAGGGCAAATATCAGGGAGTTCCATATAGTTTGAATAAAAATTGAAAGACAAAATCATCCATATGAAGAACAAGGAAATTCTGATGATGATTTTTAGCAATTTTGAGTGTAAAAATAATGGTGATGGGTACCCGTAGACCACTGCTGATCCCCGTAGTAATGACTGGCATTACCGATGCGACCTAGGAGGCGTCTAGTATTGTGGGGTAAGAATGTCTGGAAGATTTACTTATCTAGTTAAAAGCAGTTTTATTTGGTTCAGTCGGCTGAGCTATTTATGCCAGATGTGTATTTCATATATTTTACAAGGCCCACATAACGGCGCTTCTTTTTCAAAAAAGAACGCAGTTTCTACCCATTTTGTGCCAATTGCTCATGATCGCAAAAAGAGCATTATTAGATTTTATTTGAACAGAAGTCACAATCCTGCCTTTTTAGAAAGTACTTTAGAGCGAATCACTACAAAACCCGTGATTTTCGGACCTGCGCCGGAAAGACAATTTCCACTATAATAAACACCATCAATTATATACGAATTCTACCAAGAAAAATTAGACCGAGACAAAACACACTGAAGTGTACGACGCAAGTCGAAGTTTTCTTCCTTCAGACATATG